TTTATAAAAAATTATATTATTAAACCAAATATAAATTACTTCGTTATTGTACATAAATTAAATTACAAAAAAATTGAATTAAAAAATTACAAATGAAGAATTTCAAATAGTTAATTTGATACTAATATCGATATATTTTTGTCAAATTTTTATGATATCTTCAAACATATATTTTATTCAAAAATTAAAACATCATCGTTTTCTCAAAATCACATAAAGCCATATTATAACATCGACTGAGATAAAGAATAAAATGAAATATTAAAATCACGATGTATCTCGCTGCATTGCGCGAGTACGTTTCTAGTAATAATAAATGTTAACATAAAATAATAAATTACTTTACAAAAAATAAATTAGTTTCATTAATTATAATTGGTTTTACCCTTTTGCCCTTATCGGTATTATAAAATGTATTTTCAATTTTTTTTATTTTTTATTTTCTTAAATAACCTTGATTAATCTTAACCATTGATCAAGAAAATGGATAGGTGAGATTGGTTTACACGGTTTACACAAATGGAGACGATTTTTATTTGATCGCTCCTCTTTATATATATATATATGTATATATATATATATATGTATGTATATGGGCTCATTTAAGGAGAACTAATTAGTTTGTGATAACCGAGAGATCCAATACGACTCGTTTGAAATATTTAAGGATATTTTTTAAATAAGCTAAAAGGATAATATAGTAATTATATTTTTAATAACTAATCAAAATATTTAGTTAAGTTTTTTAAAAGAAACTCACAGCCACAGCCGAGTTACAATGGCCGGAAACCCTTACGAATTACAATAGAAGCGCTCCAAAGGGTGGTTCTTATTTTACACTGCAAAATCTTGTAAATTGCAAAATCTCAAAACATGCAGCAAGTAGCAATCTTGCACAATATACCAAAATCATGTCGGGAAAACAAGCACAACATCAAGTACACAATGAAAAGAATTGGCACAAATGTCAATATGATGATGAATTCCCCAGCTGCAACTATACACAAACAATCGAGCAGCATGAACAGATAAGAATCAAACCTCTTTTTTTTATCTAAATCGAATATACATGGTGTTAGAAAATAATGAGCATATATAGCAGTGATTTCATGTCGAGAAGAAAGTCCATAATTTCTTCCCAATCGAAATTTCACCAGGATGTTGCTCTGAAGCATTATCACCATCATCATTATCATCACCACCACCGTCATCGTCACCGTCACCACCACCATCACCACTATACTCATTGGTGCCATTAACATCATCACTCATTTCTATATTTTCCTCCAATATGGCATCACCTGGCAACTGAAACACAGCAAATGAAAACTATTCAGCAAATCTTGAAAATGTGAAACCATTTGAAAAAAAGATGGAAAGAAAGAAAGAAAAACTATATGTTGAATTATATACTCTTACAACCTTATCGGATTCAAGGGTGTCGACTCTTTTGGGTGTAACAAGCATCAATGGCTTTGCATTGCCATCTTCAGTAGCGACTTCTGTGCTTGGACCAGAAGCAATTTCAAGATTTTGTATTACTTTGCTTGCACCGCTAGTTCTAGATCCATTAACTTCATTCCCATTCATGATATCCACAGAAGCTTGAGTTGGAGGGATGACTTCTACACTAATCATTAGACGCAAAAATTTCAAGTTAAAACCCTGGAAACATATCAGTGGTCGTTGAAAATATAAACACGTTAAAGGGCAATGGATATCAAAGGAGAAATTAGAGATTGTCCAAAACCGATAATAACAAAAAGAAATTACGGAAGCATCAGTAAGAAAATTAAATATGCATTGTATGTGAGACAGGATGGAACAGTACAAAAACTTGTGGTCTCACGTTTGGCACGACATTAGACCGGGACATGACAAATCTGAGTGGGACAAAAATGCAATTCTTTCTGTTCCACCCATTTAAAAATGCATTTTTTTCTAAAATCAGGGATATGGGACAAGATTTGTAAATTACTAAACTACCCATGTCAATTTAAAACCCTAAGACCTTCCAGAATTCTTTCATCCACCTACCTCACTCTTGCCCGTCCAGTCCGGTCTACGTATCAAACGCACCCATATTTGCATTGCATCAAACACTTATCATTCAAGCGTATAGTTATAGACATATCCCATTTGCAATGTAATTTTTTATATTTTGATCCCCATTAATAAGAAAAGCACAAAGCATTACTGTCCCAACCATTGGCATTGTAGAATAAGCATATAAATAGAAGTTCAAATTAACTAAAAACACTAATCCACAAGTATAAAGCTTAGAACTTACGTCTTGTGCCCTCTGAGATTATATCGTTTTTCTCCAGGAGTTTGTACTGCTGTTTGCCGCCTCTTCCTGCGCCCACCTGTCGTAACGCTTTCGGAACATGCCTCACTCTCACTAGCTTCCATGTCACTTCCACTGACCAAAGAAGCTTGGGCATGGGAACGTTTCCTCATAGAGGTCCCACCTCCCTTTTCATCATCGAGACTTTCTGCTTCAGAAGTCTTCAAGGAATCTTCAACCGATGCCTTAACAGTGTGTCGTTTACGAGCTCCAGCAACTTTGGCTTTTCTTACAGGTTTTCGCCTCCCACTTCTCAGCTCTGATTGCTGTGAATCTTCTGGAGCTTCAACCTCCCTATTTATGTTTTCTGGTGTATGCAGTTGAACGTCATTTGAATCATTTGCATTTTGGCCCTTTACATTAATACCAGTTGGCACATTTGACCCTTCAATTTCTCCCTTTAAATCATGCATTCTGCCATGTAGAGGAAGCCCATCCATTTTCCGGTGAGGGGATGACTTAAAAATCATCACACCCTTCTTGAACCAAGATACGAGACCTCCAGAATTAGGAGATTTAATGTTTCCAAGAGAAGTTAACTCATTGGTTTCATGAGAAACGGCAATAAAACTCTCCGATTTTTCAATGATTTCGTCTACTGTTCTCGAAAGAGGAGAATCATCCCTTCCCTCTAGCATTTGCAGATCAGATAACTCGTAAGTTCTAGTCAGCTCCCCACAATTCCCACAATTCTTGAGCCCGTCAACAAGTGCAAGAAAAATATTTCTCTCCTTTCCTAATTCTTCCCTTTGATTCTTTATCTTCTTGCTAAGAAGACAAAGCTCACTGATGTCTTTGTGCATCTCACATCGGTTTCCTTCTAACTGCTTCTTAGTCACGGAAACCTCCTCTTTTTCTTTATCTATTCTACGTTTTTCTTGCTCCATTTCTTCCATTTCCTTCCTGATAACTTCCTTCAAGAAACTGATATTATTAAGTTCTTTCTTGCGCTCCTCCTCAAATGCTTTCTCCCTCACCTGAAGTTGTTTCTCCACTTCCGCACGCCTGTTCTGCAGATTAACTTCAAGAGCTCTTTGCTTTAGCTCAAGTTCATGAACTAATTTTCTCCGTTCGTTTTCAGCCTTTTCGGTTAAAAGTGACTGCTCCTGCTTCACTGTAGCAGCAAATGTTTCTTTTTCCACTTTGACAACTTCCAGCTCCCTTTTAATGTAATCTTTTGTCGCAAGTTTATCTTTTTCCAATCTTTCTTCTTCTGATTTACGGAATTTTTCTATAGTTTCTTTTTGTTCACCAAGTTCCCTTAGTTCTTTGTTTATAGCCGTTTTCTTCTCATTCAATGTCTCCCATTCTTCCTCAAACTTCATTCTATCCTTCCTTAAGCAGTCAACTTCCTTGTCGAGCGACTCTCTATGAAGTCCGCATTTATTTATCTCCTCTTTCAATTTTGATTGCAAACGGGCATGTTTTGTTCTTTCATCTTCTGTAATTCTATGTTTCTCTAAGTCTGCATGTAACTTTAGCTCCTTTTCGGTAATTTCAGCTTTGACTTTTGTAAAATCGTCTTTTATAACTTGTAGAATCTCTTTGTCTACAAGTATCTGTTTTTGGTCCAACTCCTTTTGTTTTGCTTCGGCTTTAATGGATTTCTCCTTCTCTCTCACTGCTTTTAACTTGGTGTCAAGGCTTTTCTCTTTCTCTTTGAATCTTTCTGTCTTCTTTTCCGAAGCTTGTTCTAGCTTTCTCAGTTTTTCCTCCCTATGCTTGATTTCAGCTTCTTTCCGCTCAAGAGCTTCTACCTTGCTTCTCATGTCCTCCTCGATAGTATTCCTCTTTTTTTCCATTTCTAAGTCAAACTCCTGCTGTTTAGAATATAAGGAATCTTTGTGGGCATCTAGAAGCTTCTGAATCTCCACCTATAATAGCCAAACATCATCCATCTCACACTAATATATACATACATATATTGGGGGTGTTCAAGAGTAAACACTAAATAGAGAACAACGGAACCCATCTGAACCGTCCATCTATTTTAATCTTACAGTTGTGAATAATAATGGTGGTTACATTGTGCTAAAACTAGAGGCAGTATTCAAATCTGGGTCATCTGTAAAAAGATAATAAAACCACCTTTTTTAAAATAAAAATACCCCCCCCCCCAATCTTTTATATCAAAAATGAGTGAAATATAACAAAAATTGGTGCAAAACAACTTCATCAAAAAACAATCACTTTATCATCTTTAGTTTGACATCCATTTCGATACATTTTTTCACCCGTTTTTTCATTTCGGATATTTGTAGGTTCTCTATCTACTGCAAGGGATTGGCTTAGCGGTCAATCACCAAGCCTAGTGCCTATGAAGCATCAGGTCTCAGGTTTGATTCTTGCTAGATGTTACTGCCGGTAGGTCTAAAGTTTGTTCGGACCATGTGGCTGGACACTTTGAATGGACCCCCAGTACGAGTTAGGCAAAAGGTGTAAGACACCATGGTTAACCATATATACACATATGCTCTCTTTTTCTCCCATACACACATAAAAACAAAACAAACGACCCGACGGTAAGATTTATACAGACATACACATATACATAATAATTATCTATATGTGTGTTTGTGTGAGTGAAGAACAGATCTAGAGAGAGTTGTGTGTTTATAAAGAGACAAATTAAGCATGAACTCACTCTTTCTTTCACATTCAGTTTCTCGGTCAAACTAACAAGTTCCTTTTCCTTCATCTCAAGCTTCCGTCTTTTAGACTCTGCTTCCTGCAATCAAATAAAATAAAGCAGAATGAAATCATAAACTTGCACAATAAAATGTTAACGATTAGAAACTTACCATCTCTTTTGCAATTAATTTTGCTAATCTATCGTTTACATCATCCACTTTTTTCTTCGATTCCGAAATCCTCAAATCTATATCATTATATGCTTCTTTGAATTCCTTTTCCTTCTGTTTGAGGGTCGTCTCAATTTCATTGACCTTTTCCTCTCTTTGATTGATAATTCTTCGACTTTCGCATAATCTCTCTTCCCCTTGGTGCAATTTTCTTTCCCATTCCTGCAAATCTTCTTTCTGTTTCAAAGACTTAACCTCCCATCCTTTCTGCCTATAAAGAAAGGTAATATTGTCATCATCTTCATGCATACGGCAATTTAAATATATATACAAGCATCTCCAACAGATTTCCTATAATTTCTCCAAAATGGAGATGCGAAAGTTAAAATCTCCAAATTCGGAGAAAATTATAGAGAATTAGTTGGAGATGGTCTAATATGTTAGGCCTGCGTGTATCTTACTCTTCAACAAACAATAGGCGCTCACTCTGGAGCATGGTTTCACGAGTCTCGACCTTTTGTAATTCTTTGTCGATCTCTAAACTCCTTTCATTTGCAGCAGCGAGCCTTGCATCAGCTTCTTGCATCTTTTTATCAACCTCTCTGGATTTATCCCTGATCCCAAAAACTAAGTTATTTGCATCAGCCAACTTGGTCTGAGAACTAAGTTTAATTTGTTTATTTTCTTCCCCAATTTCACACAAAGCCTTCTCGAGCTGCAGGCAGAACATATGATCATAAATCTAGATGTATATGTAGTTATGTACTACTACATGCACTTCTCAATTAAATGATCTGAATTCCTAATGTTATATATACATTATTAATTTTTGTATGATTATTTGAAAATCAAAATCAAAGTCAATAAATTAACCAGTCAACCGAATTTAACAGCAAAGTAGATATTCATGTTAGATTAGTATTGGACAAACACGATTTTTATTGTATATATATCCATATAGAAGTTATAGATAATAAGGCAAAAATAAACTACTGATAATAAAGAAATCCATACAAAAGAAGTGTCCACATTTCCATTTTAATTTGTAAGTGCCTACTTTCTCATTCTACCCTTCCATCTCTATTATTAAGGGTAATATTGTCCTTTAGCTGATTAAAAGTGTAATAATTACGCAATCCTTAAACTGTGTTCATTTTTCGTTGTGGAAATTTATTTTGGGATAGAGGGAGTAAACACATTGAAGACCTCCATTACGCATAGTAGAGCCAATAAAAGTTTAGGTTAAAGAACGATGTTGCTTACATCAACCCGACAATGCTTCTCCATATCTAAAGCTTTCTCCAAGTTTTCCACACGCTTCTCAGTTTCAGATACAGCCATGAAACGAGCAACCTCCTCGCGTTTATTAATCTCCTGTATCTCTGATAGTGCTTCTTTAAGTTCTTCAACATTTGCAGACAAATCCTTATTCTCGATCAATAAAAGCCCCATATTATACTGATGATTGAAAAGCTGTCAGAAGAAAACAACCAACAAGATTAGACAGTTGCAACAAAAGGCAATCCAATTTAGGGGCTGTTTAGTTGGTTTTCCATGAAGTCCTGTAGGAATAAAGTTGACTGTGGATTAATCTGTCTGAATAAATTGGGAGGTTTTTCTCGTGAATGGAAGGAGCTTGTTTTTTAATAAAAGGGACAGGTTTGGAAAAAATTTGACTTTCTGCATAAAGCTCCGCCTAGAATCTTACTGAATAAGCCACTTTCAATATCATTAAGCCACAACCAAACAGTACATGTATAGCTGACCAAATAAGATGCGAGTCCCATTAAGCTCATTAAGTTAAACAGGCCCTTAATCATCAACAAGACCTGAAAGGGCCACAACATGTAGCTTTATCATAGAACACAAACATTAGCACAATTTAGCCTCATCTTAGTGCTAAAAAGCGCGGGGCAAAGGCTTGTTCTTTTATAGCATTCCTTCTGGTTTAATCTTTCTATTGTTTCTAGTTTCAGTCTTTCTAACAATAATGTACCAATCCAAGATTAAATGAAAGAAGCATTCTTTTGGGCTAGTTTTATCTATTCCTGTGCTCAAAGAGAGAATCTTGAAGTAACAAAATGTGAAACAAAAATTGAAAGAAAAAGTTTTTGAATAACTGGAAGTAAAGTTAAGAACTCCAAAATGGTTGGCATTATTTGGTGATTGGTAATCAAATAATCAATAGCATGTAAGAACATTCAATTCTGGCCTGAAAATGGAAGTTACTTCAGTAACTATGAACTCCATCTCAGTATTTTTATCTCAGCCATATTCCACATCCATTCACCAAAGCACCCATGTTGTGCAGAGACTGTAGAGAGACCATTTAGCATCCATTCTTAAGAAAAAGTTGCTTATCGTTCAATTATGAAATTATGCTTGAATGGTCACCATCCTAAGGTTCCATGCTTTCGGTTAGAACTAAGAGATTATGCTTCTAGAGTGGATTGATCACGTTTTAATGGTTAAGGGATTGTAATTTTGGCCTAATAAATTTCCAAAGAACTGTAGAGGCAAACAACACTCTAATGGAGTAACTTTTCCAGTTTCTTGATTATTTTTCCCAGGATAATCACTATAGGGGGTGTTTGGCAATTGCTGAATGGTTTGGTGCAGAATGATTAAGTGGTCAGAATGATTAAGAGGCTCTCATGATATAATGCAAAATGAAATATAATTGTTTGGTAATTGTGTACAATGAAATTAGGGCTCTTAATGGTTAAGGGAGAACCAGGATACAAAATCATTCAAAGGGTTTTAGAACCATTAAGAGGCAGACTTTTTTTTTTGCCAAACAAGATTMACCTCTTAACGATTCAGAGGTTGCCTCTTAATGGAACTATTAAGAGGTAAACAAATAACCCCTAAAAACAAAAAAAATTGGATGAAGCAATTATCATACTCCCAAGCATTGACCAGAAAAGTCCACGTGAATATGATAGAATCATAGAATAAACTAAGATACAATTAAGATGGTGTCAAAATAAAAACATACAGTCCCTCCCTTCCAAAATAAGTCAACCTTAAATAGAAGAGCTTCGAATGATGTCATTCACACCTAGAATCCTATTGGGTAAACCGATTACACTTTGCATTCGAGTCTTGTAACTTATTTTCCGTTGTTTTTAGCATACCCCAACTAGTTCGGAACAAAATACAGTTTCTTCTTCTTGTTGCCATTGTGCTATTTTATTTGGATGTCTGAAAAGGCTTTGATATGCATTTTGAACTCTTGAATACATCAAACCTTATACACAAAAAGAAAGATCTTAGTTCTAAATTGGATTCAAATTCCTTATAAAAAATTAGCCAAGTGAGATACATAAGAAAGTCCAAAGCAAGTCTAATTAATCATCATATGATACAACAAGAACTAGAATGAAAGTGAACCAATTAGAAAACTGTAATTAGTAAGAAATTGAACACAAAAAGCACCTCTTTTTCAAGTGTAGCAGTCTTCTCAAGCAATGCCTCACGGTCTTTTCTCTTCATAGTAGCCTCATCCAACAACCCCGCATCCTTAAACCTTCTCCAGTCATCCAAATCCCCACCCTCCGCCGCAGCATTCACCTCTTTCTCATCCAACAACCCAAGTGGTGGCGGCGGTGGCGATGGCGGACCATCAATAAACGCCACCGCCTTCCCCTTCCCGGAAACGTGGCTGGTTGTGTTCCCAATCTTTTGCAGATCGGACCGTGGCGTTATTGTTAATGTAGAGCGCCTAATTCTATGATCTGGCGTAAACATTTGGTATAATCGAAAAAAGAGGCACTCAAGATTTCATAAGAAATTAAGACCTAGAATTTGGGGGAATTGGGTTTAGGATGTGATTTAGAATCATCAGCCGCACAAGGGTTTGTATGAGAATTTTGTGTTAACATAAAAGAAATCTTGCCGAAAAGCTTTGTTTTTTTGGTGGAGAAAAAGAGCCATGAAGGAGAGGTCTGTGCTTTCTGCATTCGAGGTTTGGATGCATAGGATGTTACCGTTGATGGTTTGGTTTGGTGGTGCGATTTAGAGTAAAGAATAATTAAATGTTCAGAATGGTTAAAACACCGTCATGATACAGTGTAAAATGAAATATAATTGTTTGATAATTGTTTACAATAAAATTAGGGTGCTGAATAGTTAAGAGAGTCCTATGATGCAAAATTATTCACAGAATTTAAAAACCATTAAGAGGCAGACTTTTCTTTTACCAAACAACGATTCAGATGTTTTTCTCTCAATGAAACTATTAAAAGGTAAACAAACAACTTCTCACCTGTAAAATTCAATAACCAAATTCTCTGTTGATTAAGAAGTTACAGGACCCAAATTAGTTAACATCGAAAAGGTTTTTGTTTAAAATAGTTTTTTTATGGATGAAATAAGTGTGTTTTTTTAATTAGAATGACAGGTTTGGAAAAAACTTGACTTTCTATGTAAAAATTCCTCCTAAAAACTTACTGATAAGTCACTTTCTATATAATTGAAACACTACCAATAGCCATCTGTAGCTGATTGAATAAGATATAAATCTCATTAAACCCATTAAACTGCTAACAAACAAACCCTTATTATTTCATGTTTGGTGCGATAGGAGATTAGGAGTGGGTTGTACAACACAGGACAAGAGAGGTTTATTTTCATAATAAGTGGAACAATATGGGACAAAGACGAGATAGAATTAAAAAAAATTTATTAATTTATCCTTATTTGATATAAAACTTTAAATGGTATTTGTCTTAGTAATCATCATCATCATCGGACACATCCACCTCCTCCTTAACTACAATAACCTCCTTTGGCACCACCCTAACCACCGTCATCCACTGGCACCACCGTCGTCGTCAACACTACCACTGTCGTCTGTCGCCCATGTCAACCTCCATCATAACCACCACTACCATCGCCCACCACCTCTACCTCCATCACATCAGTCACAACTACCTCCTCCACCAGATTGACTGACGTCACCACCAATGTCCATCTTCAAATCCTCCACTATCACCATCTTCCACCAGACACCAACACCTTTGCCTCCACCACTATTGTTGCTGCAACAACCTCCAGCATACCTTTTCCGATTCATAAGAAACTTCTGATCTGAATAAAACATAGTTTTTTTTTCTTTCCACGAACCAAATTTTTTCAAATTATCATCAGTTATATAAAGATTGCATTTAAATTTCGTACTATTATAAATGTATGCATTTATGTATATGAGTCATTCCATCGACCCATACTGATAAGAATTTTACTCCGTAGTAAATGGAACAAAAAGTTGTAAAATTGTGTAAAAGATGTTTATATTTAAAGAGTAAACAAATAGTTCTAAAGTCACATATTTTTTTTAAATATAATATATTTTTTCAAGATAAATATTTATTTATAAGAAAATATAACGCTTGTTATTTACTTATTTAAAGAACATATATTTTTTAACATATTTTTAAACAGTAGCGAATAAATGTGTTTTATTATTGCTGCTATTATATTAATGAATAATTTAGATTTTTTTATAATTAATTTTAAATAATATGTAAAGTTAAAACTTTTGAAAGTATAATGTTGTAATTTCTTGTCACGTCAACAATATGTTATACAGTACAATGACATGATATGAAAATCTCATAACCTCTCACTACAAAAGAAGTTTTTGAGTTTTAGAAGAAAAAATATTTAATTACCTGTCACTGTCGGCGGATTATTCATTATTTTTTATTTTTAATTAATTAAAGCGTCAATAATACGTTGGTAATTAGCGACAAATTTCAAATCCGTTGGTAATATGTCGGTAATTAAATTTGTCATTAATTACCAAAAGATTATTTTTTTTATTTTTTTTAAATTAAATTCGTCGTGATTCGTCTGAAATTACCGATAGATTTTTTCCATCCGTAATATCCGTCGGTGATAGTCTATTTTCTAGTAGTGTCTATCATTTACTGTTGATTCAAATCAAAATATTAGTACTTGCCTTGATAAAAAAATATTAAAAAAAAACTTGGTAAATTTTTCAAAGTACAATGTGTTGATAAAAAATAACTTGAAAGTATACTACATAATTATTGATGTTATCTAGTTAAATAACCACAAAGACCCTAGTAGAGGGGGTATATTGGCATGTCTAATGGTACCCGGTTGTTTAACGAGGTCCCATTTGGCTAATGCTATTCGGGTCTTAATTATAAACCGGGTGCAATAATGTACAAATAGCTGAAACCATTTTAGATCATAGAACCCGCTTTCTTTAAAGAAACAAGTAAAATTAATGTTTTAATAAAAAATTTTGCTTATAATAATGTTATTCATCCAGCAAACTAAATCCATCTGCACCACTCTTGTCATTTGGCCTAAAATGCATAATCGTTAATGTCATAGCCTGTAAGCCTTGGTATAATGCCACGTCATATTGTGGACCATAGGCCAACTTTTCCACTAATTTTTTTAAGTATAAAATATTTATATACGGCAAATGCAACAAATAAACTCACACACCTTCCTCACCTATGGTGAGATTTGAACCCCTAACCTTCTAGAAGGCCAAGGGCTACGATACCGCTAGGCCAAAGGCCCTTTGGTAACTTTTCCACTACTTGGTCAACCTCTTCGCCATAACTTACGGTCACTCTATCTTTCAACCATTGTGAAAATATTATGTTATGTTCGGTAGCCAACCATTTTTTGCTTTTCGACCTGTTCATCATTTGTAACACAGTCATGTGCTCATGTATATAGGGAGCAACAACTGTCATGTTCTATAGGACGAAAAAATGTGTCTGCTTCAATTGGTCCCAATATGGAATGATCTTTTTAAATTCATTTGTCATAACCCCACCAAGTCTACTCTCATGTCGAGATCGTGGAACACCAATATTATTGACACCGTCTAGATAGTTTGTACAAAAATCAATCACCTCTTCGGAAACATATCCTTCAACGATACTACCCTTTGGTCGATATTGATTCCTTATATACCCTATTAAGAAACCCATATCTCTCTCAAATGGATACATGTATTATTGAAAAACGGGACCGCACTCCTTTATATCTTCAACAATGTGAGATACCAAGTGAACCATGACATTAAAAAAAGGAAGGCGGAAATACATCTCGAGTTGACAAAGAGAGGATAATATCCCTTTTCCATGAACCCAACACCTCAGGATCAATCACCTTTGAATAAATCATGTTAAAAAAAAACAAAGAAAGTTTTGTGATTGTGTGGCAGGAGCTATATGCCTACCCACCTTTTTTGAGCACGATGTTTAGATTTTCAACATAAGAATATATAGTTGGTCCATTTAATAGTGGCCTTACCACTCCATGTTCTCTTTTCCCGTCAAATGCTTTCTCCAGTTTACAGTATAGATGACTTTTTGGAAGCGATCTTCGATGTCTCATCCATGTGTCTTAATTTCCCATCTGTTTTTCGCTCTTTGGCATGACAAATAACAATTTGGCATATTTAGCAATTGCAAACGATCGTTTCAATCTTGGCACAATGGGCAAATACCAGAGGAACTTAGCAAGGGGTCATTCTTCATTTCATTACTGTTTCTTCCGCATATTTTTTCCACTTGTAACGTGACGTACCACATCTAACACACATACAATATACAACCATTTAGACATGCATGCATCCTTTCAATTTCTAATCCCATTGGGCGTATCAATTTTTTCATGAGATAAAACAATTATCTCAAATAAACAAACATAAACCATAAAGGCGGTGAACATTAATTCAACAATTAAGCACATACACAATTAAACCCTTTCACTTACCAAAATTTTCAAAACCACCCCAAACTTCAATATTCAATACCTGGTTATCACATTATCCCCTCATTCAAAAGAATTCCGTCACAGAATTCAATCGGTCGAATAAATGAGGATAACTGGATCTCATATTGGATTCCAGTTCCCAGGTAGCCTCTTGCCCCTTGTGAAATTGTCATTGTATCTTTACCAGACTGATCTCTTTATTTCTTAACATTTTAATTTTTCGATCAGTGATAGCTTCTGAAGTTTCCACAAAACTTAACTTTTCATAGACTTAAATTTTTGGTAATGGTATAACTATATTCAAATCGGTTAAACTATCAAAGGATAAGGGAAAGAGGAAATGTGAGATTCCCTATATGCTTACATGGAATATAAAGAAGAGCATGTTATCTGTTGATCTTGAATACTTGTTATATAAGCAAGTGATGTACTAAAATATTATGAAAAAATTTGTTAGCTACCTATAAAATGTAGCTTGTTGTATATTTTTGGGACCGAATGTGTACTATGTAAGTTTGAGAGGGAAGACGAAAGCTCGTCAATTCAAGTCGTCACACGCTACAGTTAAAAAAAAAAATAATTTCCATACTTATTTAAATCTCATTATTTTAATCCTACAAAATTAAACAAATCAAAATCAAAATCAAAATCACATTTAATTATCATTTTTTTGGGATCATAACTCACAAAAAAGAAAATTATTGGCCCACCGGCGATCGTAATTTGAAATAGGGTTTCGAATTGCATTTCCAACAAAACACAAAAGGAAAGATCCCCAAAAGGAGTTTATTACCCAAAACCTAGCGAAGAATTGATTCAAACCCTAACTATCCCAGAAATACAGACCAGCATCAATCGAGTCGGCAGGAATTTACACTCTCTTTCTCTCTAAACTTCGCTAGGTAGTGGAGTATCAACGACTATGGCGACAGAAGCTTCTAGATCGTCAACTTCGTCTGCCGATTCGTACATTGGAAGCTTAATTAGCTTGACTTCCAAGAGTGAAATCAGATATGAGGGCATTTTGTATAATATCAATACCGAGGAATCCTCCATCGGATTGACCAACGGTAACCAATTTTATTCAATCTTGATTCTTTCAATGTTTTTAGTGGTTCCGATTCGGATTTTTTTGGTTTCTGTTTGACTAGGGTTCAAGAAGGTAAGTTCAACAATTTAATCGTAGGAGTGAAATGCTTGACATCCAGTTGATTACCGAGGAATTTTTTGTTGGTTTTATTGCTGTGATTTCAAATACGTGTTTTGATCCTATTATTGCATTAGGTAGGTGTATGCGGTTTCGATAAAATAAACGATATTCTGAGACCTGAACATAGTTGTTCGAATTAGCACCTAGATAAAGTTATCACATTAGTAATCGATTTAGTGCAGATAGTTTTATATATTGTAAAACTGAATGAAGCAAATGACTGCCTCGTGGAATCATGTTGTATCTGTTTTTGATTGTGTCACAACTGCGGTTATTATAGACTTTCTTAAAAATACTTTAAAGATATTCTTACCTAGTTTGGGTAAATTTCTGAATGGTGTCACTATTGGTATTCTTACTGAATTTCTTGAAAGTATAATTTAAAGATGTTCTTTTAAGCCTGAGTAAATTTCGTAAGATCACAATAACTCTATTTTTATGCCTAATCAATTTTAGCTATTTCACATTAAGGAATTTCACTTTTGACCATTGAAATTTGTGATCCATAAGACAGTAGACGACTTCATATGAAGCTGTAGGTTGAGAAATGTATTTGGGAGCCTATCAAGTGCAACATTAATAATATCAAAGTAGAAAATGTGATATCTGTATATGGAAAAGTAGTTATGAGTCATTGCCTTCACTATTTGGGATCAACTTTATTTAAGGATTGGATGATTGATGTGGGTAATAGTCATAGGATATTATGGGTTGCATGAGCACAGGCTTTGGGATATCTATCTGATTGCAATGTTCTAAAATTCCCTGCTCAGGACAGCTTAAGTGGCCGCCAAGGTCAGGTGTATAGTGTTCACCGCTTAAATCAGTTAAGGCTTATTTGGTTGCCTAGTACACATTCTCTACCACTTTGCTTAGCAACTAATAATTGAATTAAGCGTTTCTAAAAATTTGAATCAAACAACCTGTCTAAACTTGTGTTCGTCAGTTTACTTATCTCAAACCTGAAGGGAATTTTACCAATTCTTTGAATAGAGAAGTAATTGTACAAAATGATATCTTATCAAAGTTTTAAATTTTTATATGTTTACATAACCTGAAATTAATCATGTATAAACTGAATTGTTTATTGTTCAGCTTAACCTTGTTTAGGTAACTAAATGCCAGAAGGTCACTCGACTGCCTAGCTTTTCCTAATGCTTCTTAGAACACTATGGGATTGAAATGTTTCATTGAAGCTGAAAACTATTTATATGATTGTGGCAAGTCATACTAAGAGTCATGGGACAGAATGTTCAGCCACATAAAGACAAGATGCTCACAGTTAAGAAGGTTTAGTTGCAATAAAATTTAGCTTTAAGATTAACAATGATTTAGATAAGTATTGGAAACAAGTTACTTCAGTGACTTTGTGTATGTCTATATTGATATCTACTTGGTTAGTTATGCTGCTGCTAGATATGATTTCTCTTCTTATGTATCATTCATCCTTTCTGAACTTGCTAGGTATTGAATTATTAACTCATTATTGAAAATTTGCAGTAAGATCGTTTGGAACTGAAGGGCGAAAAAGAGATGGTCCACAACTCATGCCTAGTGACAAGGTTTATGAGTACATATTATTTCGTGGAAGTGATATTAAGGTACCTAAACTGGAAGATCTTTGACTTCCATCTCTCAACTTGCTTTTTTGTGTTTAGGAGGGCATGGATCATTATCATTGCATGGGTTTGTTGTTTCTCTAAAAATCTCTACAACTTCTAATAGGCATAATTATTTCTATTGCATCTTTTGGCAGTTAGTTCCCCTTTTAGCAAGTTGTTCGTCACTTCATTGTAACATAAAAACGAATCTGGAAATGGGAGTCATAGGTCATTTTAGATGGACAATTTAGATGATGTTGGTTTACTGTGAGTTATTTTTCTGTTTTTTTTTTTCTCTTTTTGACTTTTGTTAATTTGATGGACCTTTGTTTCATTTATGTTTAGATTACAACCAATATTTGATATAATTGGTTTGACCCTTTAGATACCCCCATGAAGAGAGGATGGAGGACAACACCCACTACCGATCCTTGATTTTTTTGGTCTTTACTCTTTCAATGTATAACTTTCATGATCTATGGAATGTCTCTTGCAATTCGTTTATTTGAAACCCCTTTAATAATTGTCCGTCTAAATGCTTATGCTTTCAACATCATATCTTCAAGGATGGACTCGTGACCTCTCCTGTGACCATGCTTGCTATGAGTGCTCTGAATAGTGGTAGGCCAAGCTAGCCATTCAATCAAGTGCATAGCGCCTAATTAATCAATTGGGTATTAAGAGGATCATTAATTGGTTCATTTTAACATAAAATACAATTGGTAAAAATAGATTTTCAATTTTGTTTTTACAATTAACACAATAAAAGCATACATGACAATGTACATTTATAAGTTGCCTAATAAACTAAATTAAAGACCAAGTTAGTGAGATAATAAATTAATGAGGTATAACTACTTAAAAATAATGACATGTTACAAGTAAGTGAACTAATATGTAAGGAAGTAACAAGTTGGTTTTGCCTTTTGTAATTGAGTAACCAATAATAAATGAATCACCAATCAATAACTAATTAACAATAATTAATAATAGCATCAACAAGCGGAAAGTGTCCACTTTGCCAATAATTGCACTATCGCTTTACGTTGGAAAGGTTTTGTTGGCGATTGTCACTTCTCTTACTAGACGCTTTTTGAAATTTTATTTTTAATATTTCTTGCTGTATAATTTGACTTCTGGACAGCAAAGGTTTTGAAGTTAATTTTGTATTATGCAGGATCTTCAGGTGAAATCATCTCAGCCTGCTCAACCCACACAACCCATTAACAGCGATCCTGCCATAATTCAGGTAATTAGGGGATAACTGGTGATATATCTGTAACGGCTTTAATTGTGTAATGGTCTAAACACTTCATTTCTATGCAGTCTCATTATCCTCGGCCAGCTACAACGTCTTCAAGCTTGCCTGCTGCTGCTGCTGCTAACTCGTCGTCTGGTCCTAGTACCCATAATGCACATCCAGGTCATCCTGGGTCAACTTTTCAAGGTGGGCTGCCTTTATATCAACCTGGTGGGAATGTTGGATCTTGGGGCCCTTCACCACCTCCTCCAAATGCAAACAGTAGTGGGATTGCAATGCCGATGTATTGGCCAGGATACTATGCCCCACCAAATGCGCTTCCGCAGTTGCATCAACAATCATTGCCTCGACCACCACAGGGGTTAGGAATGCCTCCATTACAGCAACCTATGCAGTATCCTAGTTTTAATGCATCCTTGGCAAGTGGAGCACCAAATGCATCAACTCCAAACTTGCCTGAATATCCATCTCCTTTATTGCCAGTGTCTACCAGTTCAGCTACTTTAACCTCTAACTCTTTACTGGGATCAACATTGCCTTCCAGTCTTCCTTCAGGATTAGCTACTGGATCTTTGCCAACTCTGATGCATAATAAAGCTCCTAACTCTGTGGGTCCTACCCCACCAAGTGGTAGCATGCAACCACAGTCTACTCTTACTTCTCCTGCAGCTGCTGTTACTACTGATGTAAATGCCACCATACCTCCCATCTCTCACAAGCCTAATGTGCTTTCTGGTGCCAAGTTTTCTTATCAGGGCACGTCTCAGCCTATTTCGTCTGTTGGTGGGGCACCTACTGAATCACCCACACCATCGCTTGTAACTCCTGGGCAGCTGCTGCAGTCTCTGCCAGCTGCTGTTGTTCCAGCCCAATCCTCACAAGCTGTTCACAGTGATGCGGAAGTGGTTCAAGTGTCATCAGCATCATCATCATCAACATCGTCTGTGCCCATTCCAGTGCCAACTGAAGCTCAGCCTCCATTATTGCCATTACCAACTCAAACGCATATTGCTCCAAAGGCAAGGGACTCTTCACATTTGAAGTCATCGTCTAATAATCAATAATTTACGTAATGTTGATATAATCTGTTTAATTTTAATCTGCATATATAGATAGATAGATAGATAAGTGGGGGTGTATAGATTATTCACATATAGAGGATATATTATAGCTCAATTTAAGTCCTCTACTGGAAATAAGTATGACTTGTTACTTCAACCATAGTTCATAGTCGGTCCCAGCCTACATGGTTCACATGATGATGATGCCTGATTTTGTACTTGCACTCATGAGTGGTAACAAACCCCACTTTTTATTTTTTATTTTCAGTAAAATGAAAAGCAAACGTGAATTGAAGTGTGTCAATTCCAGTGCATCTGACTTTAAACCTGAAGGGAGTTATATGGCAATTGAGCAGATAGATAAATTGGTTAAAACCTAAAACCAAATAGACATTTTAAGAAGCAAACAAACTCGGACCATGATAATTATTTCATCTGTTTTGACATGGAATAATGCTGTAGATCATTGGAAATCTTGAACTAACCCCATGTAATTGGGACGAAGGCTAGTTGAGATGAGTTGATATCCGAAGCCTAAAATATGTTGATCTTTCTGTGGAGGTGATCCGCTTGCTAGTTGTATGATGGTTTTGGTTTTGGTTTTCAGGAGATATATGCTCATTATAAGAACATGAGCTATTACCCGTCTATGGAGTTGGGATTCTTGAAAATATCTGTCGTCTAATGTGTTCTTCTTTCTGTTTTTCTATCGCTGTTCTTTAGCCCAATGGAGCTACTTACCATACTCGGTCGAATTACAGTTACAGAGGTCGTGAAAGAGGCAGAGGATCTGGGGTAAAAATTTATTCTTGTGCATTTATGAAATGATGATTCACCATTTATTTTGCCACTTCTCATTCGTTTTATTAGTTGGATAACGTATTTACAACTTTTTTTTTGTTTGGATAGCATTTTCACAATTTTATTCGTTTACGCCTCCCTTTTCCATAAGAGGATAGGTGAAGATTGGGAAGGAGCTAAAACAGATGGAGTCCTATTATTTTGAACCCCACCTATGACCTAATTGTGTTTGCTAAATTTGTACTCATTAAATGATTCAGGGCTCACAACCAGTGATGAAATTTACCGAGGAGTTCGATTTTAATGCAATGAATGAAAAATTCAACAAGGATGAAGTCTGGGGTAGTTTGGGAAAAAGTAACAGGTCAGGTTCAAAGGAGAAAGATGGCAATGCTACTGATGAGGATGAACTAGAAGAGGAAAACGATCACAACTTACCGAAAGTTGATGCCAAGGTGAGGGGTTCCCATCAGAACACCTACTTTATACATCCCATGAAAATTTTCAAACACTTGTCGTATAAAAGTTGCTATATTTTCTTATAGAAAGTTGTAAATTTTTTTATTTGGGTGGCCATCCATTATCATAAGTAAATCATTCTATCAATCTCAAGGTTCCTTAATTTTGTGTCAGTCGAAGGGTATTATAAATACCTGCTAAATAATCACACAGTTTTCTTCAAACTAGTCAAATGTTGCTCATCTGTGACCTACAACTCATAGGTTGGTGTCATGAAAACAGTCTTTTTGCATCATCTATAAGAGATGTTTATGAAGACTCCACAAGCTATGGCAAGTTCACTCTTAATAAGGCTTGGGCCTTTCCCCATATGTCATCGGTTAGAGTCCCTCCAAGGCCATTGGAGATTAGTGAGGTGCACACAAGCTGGCCCGGACACCCACTGTTAGCAAAAAAAACCTGAGTGACCCTTTTCAATGTTTTGCAATATACAGCCTGTGTACAGCAAGGATGACTTTTTCGATACATTATCATGCAACTCTCTTGATCGCCAATCAAACAATGGGAGGACTCGGTTCTCGGAACAAATGAAACTAGATACAGAGGTGAGAGAATTTTTGTCATATTTCCTATCTTCCTTGATTAATTTCAGTATATGCTGACGACGTGTTATGGTGCAGACATTTGGAGAATTCTCAAGGTACAGAGGGGGCGGTAGGGGTGGACGTGGGCCCTACCGTGGAGGGCGTTCTCGAGGTGGTTATTATGGAAGAGGATATGGTTACGGGGGAAGGGGTCGTGGTATGAGAAATCCAAATCCAAATCCAAATCCAAATCCAAATCCAAATGCAACCCATGATTATTAAGGCAAGCCTTGTTTGTTGTTTTTACAGAGTAGAGATACCAAATGGTCCTGGTGGCTTTTAAGGGAAATAAAGTTAGATGAATGTCTGTTTGTTTGCAGAGTATTTGTAGACTTGTGAAGTCTCAGAATACTGATATTTCAAGATTCGTACTGATGTTGTTCCGGTCGGTGTAAACTTGTTTTCGACAATTATTATCTTGTTCTGTTAGATGTGAAACATCATGTTTTTTGTGATCATAGGAAATGAATCGTGGTTTGATTTTGATAAAAAGAAGTTGGAGATTTGTTTGGTTCTGTACTTTTGAAATCCAGCTGTTGAAAATGTTATGACATATATTTATCTTTAAGATGCATCCTCTTAAAAGAAATTCGTGGGTCAACCACCTCCATGGGTAGAGGCGGGTGCTACAAGCGATGGTGTAGGTGATTCAGTAACCAACGGCCGATATTAGGCTTGTGAGAGATGGGAAGTATGGTGGTGCACAGGCGCTTAATTTACCATATGCATCAGAGTTGCCAAACATCAACTAACAGCAAAATTTGTAAGGCAGTCTTCATTCCAGCAAAGTGTTGTTTATCAAACGATTACTGGATAATATTTTTTGGCTATCAAAATGGATTGTTGGTGAGCGTCACTTGTCTGGTAACCGCTACTTGGGTAAGATTTTTCTTCCTCATTTACAAGGTAAGATTCTCAGACTTTGCTAAGCCGTATAACAAAGCTCATTATTATGGATGGGTAGAATGCACTTGTGAAAGAAAATTGAAATTAAAATATAGAGACAAAAGTAGAAGACGGTTTATCAAATCAATAATACAAGTCGAGGGTTGGGTTTTGGAGAGAAGGTAAAAAGCGTATGGGATCTCCATTGTTAGATGTACGTTAAGATCAGATGTATGGGATCAATCTAATCAAATATTAAACTACATAATATTAAATAAGGGATCTCCACTGTTAGATGCACGTTAAGTTTCACACGTTAATGTTGCTTTAACAATTACAAATACCAAACTACATAATATTACCATTCCATAAATCAACACAACATAATTCCCTGCTTAATAATGCACTAAACAAGTCAGACCACTTTATCAATAAAACATATAAATTTTAAGTCTTAAAAACTTTAGTTTTTCAAAGCTACAACTTAATTATAAAGCGTTGATGCACAGAAAACGAAGTTCCTATCTTGGGTCTTTTTAGAAAACAGGTCCGAATCAAATAATGATGATTATTTCTAAATATAAAGATCAATCAACCAAATAAACAACATAATATTTAATATTTTTAAAAAAAAACCCCGTCTGTGAATTTTAAAAAAATCATAAAAAAAAATCTTTTCTGCTTACAATTAAATTTTAATATTAAAAATTAAAGAAAAAAGTCAAAAAAAATCCAATGGACTTTAATGTTTGGAATGATTAAGTTTTTGGAACAAATAAGTTCTTGGACATTCTAAAACTTATTAAATAACTTCTTGGACATTCCAAAACCTGTTAGATACATTCTTATAACCTATACAACTGGTTAATGAGATGAAATAATGGAAAAAACCTGAAATAAAGCCAATAGACTTTTATATTTTGAACAATTAAGTTTTTAAACATTTTTTAAACAAAAAAAGTATTTACATCTAATAAAATAAATATATCGAAAAATACTTACATTTACAAAAAAGTACTTATATTTAAAAAAAATATTGATGAAATATATTTTAATTAAAAATAAAATATTTTATGTTAGTGATTTTTCAAATTTAAAAAAAATGAAAAAAGATTTAAAAGGATTACTGATTTAATTTATTTTAATTAAAAATAAAATATATTTAATATATGATTTCTTAAATTAAAAAAATTAAAAAAAATTACTAATGAAATTTATTTTGATTAAAAATAAAATATATTCCGTTGGTATTTTTAAATTAAAAAAATAGAAAATAATTTGATTAAATTACTGATAGATTAACGATAAAATTTAGATACATAATTAATTAAATTTCGTCGCTAATCTATCGGTGAAATAATATCACCGACAAGATTCAACGATCTTTCACACTTATTAACATATTATTGTGTTAGAGTGTCAGACAGAGATCAAATTAGCCATCAATTAGATATAAATAATTCATGCATATATACCAATAAACACTAATGATGAATTTTAATTAATTATGTATTTAGTTAAATTTTATCTTAATCCATCAATAATTTAATCAAATTATTTTCTATTTTTTAATTTAAAAAATCACCAACAT